ACTATATTCTGCAATAAATTATAGATAATAAATTGTTTGACTATGAAGAATATCTAGAATATTATGACTCTGATATTGACTTTGAGATATTAAATAATAATGAAAGCTATCTTGATAATATATCTGAAATTCTATCTACTTCAAAAACTACAACAAATGAAAGTGTGACAACTGATCATGAATATGCTAGTAAAGACTTTGAATTTGATAAAAGAGCATTAAATTATGCAAAACATTTTGTAATATCAACTATTAAATATTTAGAACAAGATGAAAGTAATAGTAACTAGTTAATACCAGATAATAATTTGCAATCAGAAATTGAGTCTATATAGACTCTACCAACAAATAATATTAATACAATTAATTATAAAATAAATAGCAATTCAGGTACTAATAATCAAGAAAAAAAAAGAATAATGTATTATTATTGATTATAAGGAGGGACACTTTTAATGCTACTTGAGAAATATATATAGACTAATTAAGCAGCTCATAGATATTTGAGAATTAAACTTTCAGATATTAGATATAGCAATTAAAGTTAGAACAAACAATGCATTAAACAATTTAGAAATTTGCTCTCATCACTTCTATTTTGATCAAAATTAACTTTATTTGTCTGGCTCAAAATATCAAGTTTCAATTGATAAAAGTTGAATTCATAAATGAAAATATATATTTTGTAATACTAATAGATTTTTTTTTAGTTGAGAAAGGTATTGTATACAGTATTTATGAAAAGTATTCAGATGAAATATTTGTATATCTTGTGCTGGCTTAAAAGTTTGTACAGCATTTGTTAAGAGAAATAATGAGTTTGACAAATTATCTATAAGTCAAAAAAGGTTAAAGATAGTTTGCTCTTGTTGTTTTGATAATAAAGAAGGATATTTTTTTCAATAAAAAAAAAAAGTATTATGCAATTCTCTTGTGCTGAAAAGTATATAGATAATAATTAAGTTTCTCTTCAACTTCTTGGAAGATGAATTCAAGAGATAGCAATAAACAAAGATCAGCAACTAAAAGATATACTTTTAGAAGAGATCTGGTTAGCTATTGTAAAATTTTTTAATAAAAAAACAAACATTACTAAGGAATCAAATAACAATATAGAAATAAATCAAATTATACAAATAAACCTACTATCATACTTTGGAGTTAGAGTTGCTCTTCATATAAAAAAAGTTAATTTACACTAATTAGAAAAGAAAAATCAGTATACTAATTTCATAACTAATTATTCAGAAGACCTAGAAGAAGCTTTAGGATCTGTTAGTTGGAAGTTAAAAGCAGAAGTATATGCACAAAAAAAGTTGCTTGAAATGCTAAATAATTTATAAGAATTTTATAATGCATTTCCTAAGTCTATAAAAGAATTATTTAATTATTTTGTTATTTTTATTTTATAAAAAAAGTGAGAAGTAGTACAAAAAAGTATATACAGTGTGAATTAATTCTAGCAGAATTTGATAATTCAAGAGCTATAAAAATTTCAACATTTATAATATCATTAGTTTTTTCAATAGCATTTTCAAGAATTAATATTTGGTTCACATATGTAATATGTTCTCTTTGCAGAAAACCCAAGCTATTAAGTTTACTTAATACAATTTTATGTATTGTAAATATGGTTTCTTATATGAACTATTATTAAAGAATATTAAAAAAACAAAGAATTAATAATATTGATATGTCAAAAAGATTATTACAAGATAAAAACATTTTTAACTTATATATAATAGATAATCTTGACATAAAGAAAAGTATATTTGTGTATAATAATATATTTGATGTTACAAGACATATGACATATGTTATACTTCAGATAGTTTTCTAGTTTAAACTACTATAATCATTAACTAGTATTGCTAATAAATGTAGTTTATTTGATATATGAGTTTCGAGTTGAAATATCAGACTTTACAATAAATAAACTTTAGAAATTTGAAAATATTTTTAGTTCTTTTTTAGATTCTGGTAAAAGCTTTGATATTCATATTTTATGGCAAGAAATTAAGAAGGATATTAAAATAGAATGCCAGATAGCTCCACCAAATATTATTATTCTAGAACCTGGAGAAAACTCATGTTGTGATAAAAATATTCACAATATAGCAAAAATGTATTATAATGATATTAGGCTTAATAGTAATAGAAGTCTTTATTTAGTATCTAATGAGGCTATTTTCTGATAACTTGCAAAATTGCATGTAACTCAGCTAGAAATATCTTTATTACTAGGTAGGTAGCATATATCTAAGATAATATATACTACATTACTTCATATCTTTTCAGATTATAGAATTTTTAAATTAGCAGCTATTTTAGAAGTAACTTATTTAAATAAACTTAAAAAGGTGATTGACTATATAGCTATATGCTGTGTTCTAGAGTTATTATAAATTGCAGTAGGTAATACTCTTTGTTAGTATATGAAAACCTATTTTATGAAAATAAAAGATATTCAAAATAGTAGCAATAAGGTAGTTAAGGTTTAGTACTTGTTTTTTTGCTGAACAGGTTTATAGTTAGGTTATAGGCTTAGTATTCATTATAGAAATTATGAGATGCAAATTGAATATCTTATTTTATTTGCTTCTCTTTTTTCAGTTATAAGACATAGTAATTATGCCCAGTCTGTTACATATTTTTTATTATATATTGAGAAGAATCCTATATTACAATGAATACTTAGATATGTTTATTCTGTAAACTTAACATGTTCAGGCCATTTCTTTGTCTTTGATGAGGCTCTTAAAAGGTTTGACATTAAGTTTATAAAACAAAATATTGGATCTGTAATTAGATCACATGAAGATTTAAAATCTCAAATTATTTTATTACAATCTAAGCAAAAATGTTTAAATTTGCTTTTAAGTGAATATATTGATGAGAATTTATTAATTTCAACAGATAGGCCTATAAAATTTCATGATGAAACTCTTTGAAACCTAATGAATCAACTATTAGAAGCATTTAGTCTACAAGATTCTACACAATATCAACTTTTTAAAGAAACTTCTCAAATACTAATAAAAGGTTTCAATACCTTTTTGAATATTATGATATAGGAAAGAATCGATTAAAAATTATTTACAAACAAGACATTGAAAAATTAATAACATGAGATACATCAGGCAGGTGTGCTCAAAATATTATTGTTGAGCCTTGTGCTAAAAAACAAAAGCACAAAAAAGTAAAAGAAAAATAAACAAGTAGTCACATGATATAAGGTCAGAGTTGCTTACAATATATTTTTGTTTTTTAAAAAATTGTGTACTGTATTGTGTATTATTATATATCGTAGATTTTTTTTTTAAAAAAAATAATAAATATTTATCGTTATCATTAGTTTAAATACTTATTGATATCCAATATTTTAAATATTTTAGTTTGAAATTTCTTTGCATTTGCTACAAATTAAAAATAATTAATATAATTAGATTTTATTTAGCAATATTATAATAGTTTCGGCCTACCATATAAACTCGGAATAATGCTCATGGGCGTTATTTTGAAAATCAGAGCCCCTAAAATAGCATATATGATTTCAAATTAACGCCCATGGGCGTTCCGAATTAACGCGCACCCTCATATAAAAAATTATGTCAAGCATATAGCTGTATAAATATAATCTAAATCACGGGGGCAACAAATTAAACACGTAGCCGGGTATCTATATATTAAAAATTTTGATCTT